GCGTCCGTGAGTTCTTGCGTCCATTGTTCCGTGTGTCTAGGAGTTGTCAACACAGCAGGGGACATATTCTTGCCTTTAATTAAACTTGTCGTGTCGATGTAATACAAATGGTTGAGTTCATCTCAGTGCTCAGTTACGCCGCTTGGGGTGCTGGCAAAGGTCTTCCCGGGTCTGAGTGATGAGTGAGTGTCTGTTTCTTATGACGCCACACATAGCTCAGTTATTACCAGGACTAGCTTTTTATTACCAAATGCTCAAAGTACTTGAAAACTTATCTAGTACAAGGACAGGCCGTTGTGAAATTTCAAGTACAAACTCCTATAAATTGGAGTACCAAGTATTATGCACAAGTAAGTCCTTGACCACTGACCTGTCGCTTTACAACCGTCACACCCACAACAACACACCACAACCAACACATCTCCCTCACCACCCATCCCCCCACCCCACACTCCCACCCCCCTCTACCACACATCCCCCCCCTACCACATCCCCCACCCTACATCCCCCACCTCTACACATCCCCACCACCTCTACCACACATCCCCACACACCTCTACCACATCCCCCCCACACCTCTCACCCCCCCACACCCCCACCCACATCCCCACCCACACATCCCCACCCCCCACCCCATCCCCCACCCCCCACCCACATCCCCACCTCACCACACATCCCACCCCCCACCCATCACACACACATCCACACCTCTCACCCCACACACATCCCCACACCTCTCCCACATCCCCCCCTCTACCACACATCCCCACACCTCTACCACACATCCCCCCACACCTCTACCACACATCCCCCCCACCTCACCACACATCCACACCTCTACCACATCCCCACACCTCTACATCCCCACCTCTACCACATCCCCTCCCACCTCTACCATCCCACACCTCTACCACATCCCCCACACCTCTACCCTACCACATCCCCCATCCCCCACCTCTACCATCCCCTCTACACATCCCCACACTCTCCCCATCCCCCACCTCTACAACCACATCCCCACACCTCTACCAACCCACATCACCTCTACCACCACATCCCCACACCAACCACACATCCCCCACACCTCTACCAACCACATCCCCCTCACCACCACATCCCCACACCTCTACCAACCACATCCCCACCTCTACACATACACCTCTACCAACCCACACACCTCACCACATCCCCCACACCTCTACCAACCACATCCCCACCTCTACCACCACATCCCCACCACCACACACCTCTACCCATCCCCCACACCTCTACCACCACATCCCCACCCTCTACCAACCACATCCCCCTCTACCACACATCCCCCACACCTCTACCAACCACATCCCCACACCTCTACCAACCACATCCCACACTCTACCAACCACATCCCCACACCTCTACCACACACATCCCCCACACCTCTACAACCACATCCCCACACCTCTACCAACCACATCACACACTCTACCAACCACATCCCCACACCTCTACCAACACATCCCCACACCTCTACCAACCACATCCCCACCTCTACCAACCACATCCCCACACACTCTACCAACCACACACTCCACACTCTCAACCACATCCCCACACCTCTACCAACCACACATCCCCCACCTCTACCAACCACATCCCCACACACCTCTACCAACCACACATCCCCACACCTCCTCAACCACATCCCCCTCTACCAACCACATCCCCACACCTCACCAACCACACATCCCCACACCTCTACCAACCACATCACACCTCTACCAACCACACATCCCACACCTCTACCACACATCCCCCACACCTCTACCAACCACACATCCCACCTCTACCAACCACACATCCCGCCTCTACCAACCACACATCCCCCACCTCTACCAACCACACATCCCCCACACCTCTACCAGCACATCCCCCACACCTCTACCAACCACATCCCCCACACCTCTACAACCACATCCCCACCTCTACCAACCACATCCCCCACCTCTACAACCACATCCCCCACACCTCTACCAACCACATCACACCTCTACCAACCACACATCCCCCACCCTCTACCAACCACACATCCCCACACCTCTACCAACCACACATCCCCCACCTCTACCAACCACACATCCCACACTCTACCAACACACATCACACCTCTACCACCACACATCCCCCACACTCTACCAACCACACATCCCCACACCTCCTACAACCACATCCCCACCTCTACCAACCACACATCCCCCCACCTCTGCCAACCCACATCCCCACACCTCTACCAACCACACATCCCCACACCTCTACCAACCACACATCACACCACATCCCCCCACCTCTACCAACCACACATCCCCCACACCTCTACCAACCACACATCCCCACACCTCTACCAACCACATCCACCTCTACCAACCACATCCCCCACACCTCTACCAACCACATCACACACTCTACCACCACACATCCCCCACACCTCTACCAACCACACATCCCCCCACACCTCTACCAACCACATCCCCCACATCTCTACCACATCCCCACACCTCTACATCCCCCACACCTCTACCACACACCACCACCACCACACACACCACACACCACCACATACCACACACATAACCAAACCACACGCCACCACACAACCTGCCCACATTTGAGTATCCACCGCCAGCTGCGACCTTGTTTGGTTTATTCCCTTCACCAGACCACCCCTCCTCCCTCCTCCATCCCCTTCCCTCCACCTCTCCTCTCCCCTCCCATCCCCTCCCTCCCTCCCTCCCTCCTTCTCTTCTAACACCACCCACCCTCTCACACCTCTTCCACTCCTTCTCCATCACCTCACTCTCCCATCTCTCTCTCTCTCTCTCTTTTTTCTCTCTCTCTCTCTCTCTCTCTCTTATGTTTGTTGTTCTGTCTTAAAATTCAAAGGTTAACTATTCATATTTTATCACTAGACATGAATTACTGGTGCGTGCGTGCGTGCGTGCGTGTGTGCGTGCGTGTGTGTGTGCGTGTGTGTGCGTGCGTGCGTGCGTGTGTGTGCGTGGTGTGTGTTATCAGAGTTCGATAGACGTGTGTGTTAACCTTGGCCAGTTATGTAATACTCTGCTCGTGTATTTATTCTCAGCTATTTTCTCTCATTTTCCAACTTTGTCTGAGTGACTTATTTTTCTTTCTTTTTCTTTCTTTCTTTCTTTCACACAACCTAAGTCCAATTTATTTCTCTATTTATTTAACTTATTGTCTTTCTATTACATTGATATTTCCTCCATTGCCCAATTTGTTTTGTTTCATTGCCCTAATATGTACATCACACTTGGGTTGTTTATTGCCCTCCTTCCCTATCTCTCTTCCACATTCTCCTTCTCCCTCCCTCTCCTTACCCCCTTCCCCCTCTCCCCTTCCCCCATGTGGCCTTGACAAGGTGTAAGCGCCTAAGTGTGGAACGCTATACTTGGTCTATGGAGCTATGGTATATTGGCCTTGTGGAGGGGGGAAGACTATGGAGGAAAGACTATGGAGGGATGGAGGGAAGGGAGGGCAAGACCTTGGGGAGGGAAGGCTATTTAGAGGGGTGAGAGGAAGACTGGGGAAGGAGAGAAATGTAGGCTGAGAGTAGATAGGAGGAGAGAGGAATGGGGTGATGTGTGCAGTTTGTAGTGAGGTTGGAGTGTGGTGATAAATGTTGGTTGTTGAAGTGTTTGACAAATAAGACTACCCTGAGTATATTCTTCTCGCCTCCCCCACCGCACCACACTCGCCTGTTCCTCCCCTCATCTCACCCCTCCCCCCCCTCTCACATATTAGGACTAATATATTCTTTTATGTTATATGTTTATCACTCTTCTCTTTTTATTTCTTCCTCTTAAGCTTATCACACACACTCTCTCTCTCTCTCTCTCTCTCTCTCAATAATTATTCATCTCTTATTTAATTGGTATTTTTCCTTGACTAATCTCTGTGCAGTTATTATTATTATAAGTAGCAGTAGTAATGGTAGTAATAATAGTAGTAGTAGTTATAGGCACAATAGTAGTAGTAATAGTGTGGACGCTGTGTACACCATGTTAAGTGTGGTCATCCCGTAGAGTTAATTAAGTCTTGTTCCAACAGTGGAGGTCCGAGGTGGCCTTCAGGAGGGGTAGTTGTGGTCACGGTGTCTACTCTCTCTCTCTCTCTCTCTTCTCTCTCTCTTCTCTCTCTCTTCTCTCTCTCTTTCTCTCTCTCTCTCTCTCTTGACACTTCTAATGATGATAATAATAATAATGATTAATAATAGTTTGAAATAGTTGTAGAGTAATATTTGTATATAGGGCCTAATAATAATTGTAATAAAATGATGATAATGAAGATGATGATGATAATGATGATGATAATAATGATGATGATTATTAATAATAATAGTAATTATTATTAAGAATAATAATAATGAGAATAATGATTGATGATAATAATAATAATAGGGTACTATTTGTATATAGGGCCTAATAATAATTGTAATAAAATGATGATGATGATGATATAATAATGATGATGATGATAATGATAGATTAATGAACGTGTGTGTGTGTGTGTGTGTGTGTGTGTGTGTGTGTGTGTGTGTGTGTGTGTGTGTTGGACTGACAACAGGACGCCTAGCCAGTCTCCTTAAGTAGGTCACGCAGCCCTACCATACATCCACACGCACATTCCATTCTTGTACATGTAGTTATTTATTCTGTTTTTAATAGTGTGTGTGTGTGTGTGTACATGACCAGATGTGTGGTGGTGTGAGGGTTGCTGGGAGCCTGTGGACGCCCCACTAGTCCAGCCCAGACCCAGATTGCTAGGTGACTGTGCTGGTTTTGTCAGTAGAGAACTGGTGGTGTGTGTGTGTGTGTGTATGTATGTGTGTGCGCGGGTGTGTGTGTGTGTGTACGTGCGTGCGTGTGTTGGCGGTGACGTCACGGCCGTCACACGCCATCCACCTGCTAGCCCTCAGCTCTCACAACCCATGCTCGGCTCGCCAACCCACTGTCAGTTGACTAGTTGCTGTGGTGGGGTGAGGACACGGCTGGGCTAGCACGCACGCACACACACACGACCACTCGCTCTAAACAACTCCCGTGCTCTTTGCTACACTCCTCTTACCCGTTGCCTCTCTGCCCCCTTACAGAGCGGCAGTCTGGCCCCCACGCAGGAGCGACTCCGCCTCAAGATGGAAGGGCTCGTCAACGTCAATATGGACGACCAGAGGTTCTCCGTGTTGAGCTACGATCAAGTGCGACAGCTGAACGACGTGTTGCACGAGGTGGTGCCCATTCACGGCCGCGGCAACTTCCCCACGCTGGAGATCCGTCTGCGAGACTTGGTGTCTATGGTGAGAAGCAAGCTGGAGGCTGACTCCATGACGGTGCGCGACATACGCATCAACGGTGGCGCCGCCTCGCACATCCTGGCCACGGAGGGCGACCAGGCCTACAACGATCTCGACCTCATCTTCGCTGTCGACCTCAGCACCGCCAGGAACTTCGACCGTGTCAAGAACGCCGTCCTGGAGGTGCTACTCGACTTCCTGCCCGAGGGCGTGAGTAAGAAGCGCATGTCGTCGTGCTCCATGAAGGAGGGCTATGTCAACAAGATGGTCAAAGTGAACGACACTGACCGCTGGTCACTCATCTCCCTCTCTAATAACGGCGGCAGGAACGTCGAGCTCAAGTTCGTGGACAGCATGAAGCGACAATTCGAGTTCTCTGTAGACTCCTTCCAGATCGTGCTGGACTCCTTGTTGCTCTTTTACGAGTGTGCCGAGATGCCCATCAGTGAGAATTTTTACCCCACGGTAGTGGGCGAGAGTGTGTACGGGGACTTCCCTGAGGCGCTCTACCACCTGCAGAAGAAGTTGATCGCCACCAAGAACCCCGAAGAGATCCGCGGGGGTGGCCTCCTCAAGTACTGTAACCTGCTGGTCAAGGACTACGAGCCCTCGCGGCCCGAGGAGATCAAGACGTTGGAGAGGTACATGTGTTCGCGCTTCTTCATCGACTTCCCAGACGTGGGTCAGCAACAGACCAAGCTGGAGGCCTACCTGTGGAACCACTTTGTGGGGCCTGACGAGGCCCTGCGCTACGAGTACCTCATGGTGCTGCACCGAGTTGTGGACGAGTCCACCGTGTGTTTAATGGGTCACGAGCGACGCCAGACTCTAAACCTCATCGACGAGCTCGCCTGTCAAGTGTTCTACACAGAGCAGCAGCGGCTGTACGTCAAGCAGCAGCACTGTAGCGGCAGCAGCAGCAGCAGTAGCAGCAGCAGCACGAGCAGCAGTAGCAGCTTCGACGTGCACATAGCTCCCCCTCCTCCTGTCATCTACAGCAACGGCTACTACTACGCCCCCATCGTACCCGCGCCTGCGCCGCCCCAGTCGTACACGTGCACGTGCGGGTGGCTGCAGTGTGCCTAATGCACGCGCGTGCCCGGGCCCGACGGGCCCCCAGCCCGCCCAGGCCCGTTAGTGCCAAGAGTAAACACTGGTGACGCTGTGGTTGTGGGGCGGTGAGCCCAGGACACTAGTGGTGGCCGCCCACCCTCACCCAGGCGCTGTGCACCCCACTCCAGCGGAGGCCCAGCTGCATCACCACCAGCACGCCCAGCACCAGCAGCAGGCGCGTTGGTGGTGGTGCAGCTCTGTGGTAACCGCAGCGTCACCGCCCTTATGTGATATGTACATGAGTATGTGTGTAGTGCAGTACGAGTCTCCAGGCCATAGCCACACAACAGTGTCCGTTTACGTTAGCCAAAGGAGTATTATTATTTCGATTAATATTGGTCATTTGTGGACAGACAGACAGACGTGTGTTACCACAGGACCCCACCACGCCCCAACACACCACCACCCCTGGGAGCCTCGCCAGGTGGCCACGCAGCAGGTGAGCCAAGGTGAACCACACGTGTGACCAAGGTATAATAACCCTAGAGGGATCAAACACTGGTGATGCACACTCTGGCAGTAGTATAAAGCTTACATGAGATAATATTGTTTCCCGTGACGCTACACACCATTGATCCACTGAGGAAACGTAGGAAAAAAACCGTGATGGAAGTGACAATGGCTTGTCAATCCGGTCGTGTTTGTGAAGCGGTGATTGTGTAGTCAGGAGCACCTTTCTCCCTCCCTCCCTCCTCCTGAGCCTTCAGGTAGAGGAGGAGGAGGGGGAATGAGATCTTTCAAGAGAGGAGGGGGAGATCAAGAAGCTCTCTTCTCGCCCATATGCCCCCTCCCCCCTTCCGTTCCCCTCGGTAGCCCAGCAGCCGTGCCGAGGCCAGGAGAGTGCGTCAGGACCTCCTAAGAGCAGCAAGACCCCGGGTGACGCCCTACAGGAGGTGGAATCCTGCAGCGCCCTCTACAGGATCGCTCTTAACCTCTGACCTGCGCCCCCTCCACCCCACCTCATCCTCCACGTCTCCCAGCTGGAGGCACGGTGCCAGGACGGGGTCAACTGGGGTCACTGCGGGGTCACAGCCAGGTGGACGACCGCCACACATCCCCCACAATGAGGTGAGTACACTTCTTTCTTCTGGTGTGAGGTAGCCGCCCTCAAACCTAACCATATGGGTGTCGCCTACAGTGGTGTGTGTCGCTGTAGGAGGCCATTATAGTAGTGTCGGCTCTCCTGGGGTCGGGCCAGTATAGACCGCCCTGACAAACCGTGTCGTCTTGGCTCTTTATAGGTCGTTATACTCTCGGTGTCTCCCCTCGTGTTGTCATGGTCCATTAATGACGACACTTGAAGAAAAAAAATAAGTCTCGCTCATCAGGGTGACCAAGGTCGAATGGGCCCCAGTCTTGATGGGCCCCAGCCTAACCTAACTAATAGGATTTAGGGCCTAATCTTTCAGTGCTGATCCATACATTCTGTAGTCTGTATCCTGCTGCTGGCGATATTTAGAGAGCAGCCTACCTTGAAATCTAGATAGTCTCTCTCTCTCTCTCTCTCTCTCTCTCTCTCTCTCTCTCTCTCTCTCAGGGACGTAACTTGTACCCTGACCGTCTGTGATTTCAAGTGCCGTGTTATCTAAGAGTGACGTTACTACTGCCGTCCGTGGTGAGTGGGGGGGGGTGTAAGAGGGATTAACTATATATGTTATTGGGTGGTGACAATGGTGGTGGTGATAGTGTTGGGGTGGCTGTGGTGTGTGTTGGTGGTGATAGTTATAATATTGATGATGGTGAGAGGGATTATGGTGGTGATGATGGTGTCTAAGGGTGGTGATGGGAAGTGTTTATGGTAATGTTAAGTGGTGATAAACATAGTGAATTTGCGAATGGTAACAGATGATGATAATTATGGTGAGTTGGTGACAGATGGTTTTGGTGTGGTGATTATAGTGAGTTGATACAGATGATGGTGGTGACAGTGGTGGTGACTCATTATCTATGTGGGTGGTTAGGCTGAGTCATTGATGGAATGTGAGTGTCTTGTCTGAGAGAGCTTGTGAGTTTTATTGTTTGTTTGTGCTTGTGTGTGTGTGTGGGGTCGTCTGTGTGTGCGTGCTTGTGTTTGTGTGTGCGTGCTTGTGTTTGTGTGTGCGTGCTTGTGTTTGTGTGTGCGTGCTTGTGTCTGTGTGTGCTTGTGTCTGTATGTGTGTGTATATAAGGAAGAGCAGAGAGGAACTTGTGTGGCTTCCTTAAGGATGTGTTGCCTCTTCACCCTTCCCCTCCCCCCCCTCCCCCCACCCTTCCCTCCCTCCCACCCACCCCCCCTTCCTCCCTCACCACCTCCCCTCTCCACCCCTCACCACCTCCCCTCTCCACCCCTCACTACCCTTCCCTATATATAAATAAATGACAGTGTTCCTCCTCAGGTTATCGGCGGTAGTGATAAGTAATCTCTCCAGTACTGATAAGAAAATGATACTGTTACTGCTTTCTGTTTGTCAGGTGTGTCTGTGTCTGTCTGTCTGTCTGTCTGTTAGGTTAAGGCTATTCTCGGTCAGTTGAGGTGCATTAGACTACCGTTAACTGTGCGGATATCCGGTGTACGCTTACAATATACTGTACACGTAGATAATACCTATATATGTCGTTGGGATATTATGTATTATGATTTGACGACCGACAGACATACACGAATGGATTAGTGGACTGATAGATACAAGATGGAGTAGGTGTGTGTCGTCACCTTCCCCCGTTCCTTGTGGGTACCAGCTGATTACTGAACAGCTGGTAGTTTGTAAACAAAGCCTGGAAGTGAGACGTGTCGTGTTCTCATCACATTACCTCATCCTCACCAAACTGGCTCCTATTCAGCTACGAAACAAAATCTATCATACAAAATGGTGTCAAAACTGAACCGAGACTTTACCATAACGAGATGCATCATTCGGTCTCAGTTGTGGTGGAGGGAACTTGACATTTGTCCTGGATATACGAGTATGTACAAGTATCTTGGGGAGCAGTAGAGAGAGGGAGGAGGGTGAGAGCTTTTCTGTGGAGTGAGGTGAAACATGGAGGTGATATCTTAAGGGTGGAAAGATTGGAGGGTAGAGGGAGAGAGATAGGATGTTCCTAGATGAAGATAATAGTGTCTTGGAGTTGAGGTAAGGAGGAGAGCCCTAGTGAGAGGCAGGAGAGTTCTAGTGAGAGAGAGAGAGAGAGAGAGAGAGAGAGGGAGGTATTCAGAGCTGCCTCATCACATAATTTACATAATTTTTAGCATTTATGGTCGAAATTGTGTTGGCACAGGTGGGTGAGCACATACGTGGCCATCCATAAGTGTATAAGTGCGTGACGTGCCATCCATAAGTGCATGACATGACATTCATACATGTACAAGTGTTATTCACAAGTGTACGAGTGTCTGACATGTCATTCATAAGTGTAATTTTGATATGTTTCAGTATTTTAATTGCAGAGCATTACAGATATTACTATAGAAGATAATAACACCACTAAACACAGGTAATGAGGATGGCAGGTGAGGATAACACGCAATTAAGTGAACAGTCTCAGTTTTAAGGTAGAATTTAAGGTATCGGTATAACTTTAAAAGGGGCTGGGTTTAAGGTGTCAGATTAAAGGTGACCGATTTAAGGTGCGAGTTTAAAGGTGCTAGATTTAAGGTGAGAGTTTAAAGATGCCAGATTTAAAGATATCAGATTTAAGGTGTCACTTTAAAGGCGTCATTGTTTTGCTGTCAGATTTTAAAGTGGCGAGTGTTTGGTGTGAGCGAGGGGTGTCAGTTTTCGTTTACCTCTTATTCCCTTGTTTATTGTTGGTGTTCTCTTATCCCCTCCCCTGTTTTTCCTCCTCTTTATTGGTCATTTTGTTGTTCTTTCTCTCCTTTCTTTTGGTCATGTTTTTATTGACTATTATTATTTATCATTTGTTTATCTTTGTTATTGTCATGTTTCTCTCTTTCTCTATTTATTGTCTTTTTTCTTGTTGTTATTGTCTTCGGACGCTTAGTTCCCTCGTTTATTGTAATTGTCTGTATAATTATTTCTGTTTTTATAGTTTTTTTTGCTTCCTTCTTCTTCTTCTCTTATCTTATTATTCCCTTGTTTATTGTTTTGTTATTGTCTCCTTTTCTTTTTATTTCTCTCACCTTGTTTATGTACAGGTAGACTTAACAGGTATCCGGTACAGGTACAAACGTCATTACAAGTTACAGGTATGAGTATATAGTGTGGATACAGGTAGAGAGAGGATTTGATACAGGCTGGTGGATAATTAGATAGGGTAAGCAGATGATTGGATAAAGATGGATTGCTGGATGGATAGATTTATGCAATGGTGAATGTTTGACTAGGGATAGGTGGATGTTGGGGACTTTGGTTGGATGTGTGAATGTGTGGGTGGGTGGGTGGGTGGATAGAGTCAACAGGTGAGATGGTTGGGTGGCATCAATGTATTGTTGTGTGACCGTTGGGCTGCCCGCTGCAAAGGTCAAGTAGCTGACCTCTGACCTTCAGCTGCCGGCCATGACCCTGCCTCCCCCCCCCCACTCCACATACCGGTAAGTATCGACAAGGTAAATAAAGACTAGTATTATTAGACAACCGGAATTTTTTTTAAAGTTGTGTTTCCAGGAGTTTGAAAGGTCAGGTGAGGTCAGGTCAGCCTCATAGCACAGTCCGGGGCGGTTTATCACAGGGAGGCTATACACAGGTGTTATACAGGTGCCGTACAGGTGTTGGTATGATTTACAGGTACAGTCATACCCTACCTGGTGACTGTATCATCAGGTAGGTCACGTAGCTACAGGTGTTGATATAAAATACAGGTACAGTACGTGTGTCCTCCCGGTGATCGTTCCTCCTCAACCTTAGATAATGATTACAGACGGACCTAAAACATAGACTGTCTGGCATTTAGAGGTCAGGCCCTTAACGTTAATGCTTGGCGATAGATAAGGGGCTGCCTCATGTCGGTCTAAGAGTACCCATTGCTATTTGTTTCTCTTAGTCGTTAAGTTTTTAGTGGTGTAGGGAGTCTGTGTACAGGAGTCATGTATAACGCAGGGTCAGTGTACAGGAGTCATGTATAACGCAGGGTCAGTGTACAGGAGTCATGTATAACGCGGGGTCAGTGTACAGGAGTCATGTATAACGTAGGGTCAGTGTACAGGAGTCAGTGTATAACGCAGGGTCAGTGTACAGGAGTCATGTATAACGCAGGGTCAGTGTGCAGGAGTCATGGAATGCGGGGTCAGTGTACAGAGTTGTGTATAACGCAGGGTCAGTGTACAGGAGTCATGTATAACGCAGGGCAGTGTACAGGAGTCATGTATAACGCAGGGTCAGTGTACAGGAGTCATGTATAACGCAGGGTCAGTGTACAGGAGTCATGTATAACGCAGGGTCAGTGTACAGGAGTCATGTATAACGCAGGGTCAGTGTACAGGAGTCATAACGCGGGGCAGTGTACAGAGTCATGTATAACGCAGGGTCAGTGTACAGGAGTCATATCGATGCGGGTCAGTGTACAGGAGCTGTATAACGTGGGTCAGTGTACAGGAGTCATGTAACGGGGGTCAGGTACAGGAGTCATGTATAACGCGGGGTCAGTGTACAGGAGTCATGTATAACGCGGGGTCAGTGTACAGGAGCTGTGTAAGTGGGGTCAGTACAGGTGTATAACGTGGGGTCAGTGTACAGGAGTCATGTATAACGCGGGGTCAGTGTACAGGAGTCATGTATAACGCGGGGTCAGTGTACAGGAGTCATGTATAACGCAGGGTCAGTGTACTGTAATGTGTTGTACCGGTCTCGTTGTATGGTGGCAGTATATTGATAACCGGGACTAGTACACAATTGTGGGTGATGAATGGACTGTATTCCTGCAGGGCTCCGTGTGTTTGTTTGTCTCTTTGCTTGTTTTTGAATGTTTTTATTGGTGTTTTATGCCCTGATGTGTCTTGTGTGTGTCATTGTTTGTCATGCATTTCTTTATTGTGTGTGTGTGTCATATTTTTTTTACATGTTTTTACACACTTCTCTGTGTCGTGTGTGTTTGTACATCAGGAATGTTATTTACATAGCTACACATGTGCGTGT